TCCTTCCCAGATTTCTCCTATGCTCGTACATAACATATACATTTTTCATAATCAAAAAATACTGCATCTTATGTCAAAGCACTTTTCCAACATATAAATTAAAAAATACTTTTGATGGCTATATAACATCTAACACCTGAATATTACCTGAATTCAACCATTCCCTTGGCTGGATTTGTTTCCCAATTTCACTAAATGAACAGTTTTCTACATAAACCTTTGAGGGCATTTCTGATTATATTCTTTTGTAGAATCCTGATAGTGCAGAGTTAGAGAAGATGAACCCTTTTAAGAACAGAACAGTTGCTTTCTAGATAGTGCAGAGTTAGAGAAGATGAGCCATTTTAAGAACAGAACAGTTGCTTTCTAGAGGCAGAACTGATTTGCACTTCTACCAGTTGATGCAAGTCCTTGTCTCCTCATACCACATTCGTTCTGAGGGTACACTATTTTGTACAAAACAATCACTTGTTCTCAACAGTTCTATAAATAAAATACTAATCTTCGTTTCATAGTTCGAATGACTGAATAAGTGCCATATATTCAATTTACTACCTTAGCCTCACCACCCACACATTTTACTATAATGTTTCTTCCCCCACTCGTTTTACTAAAATTGCTCTAACATTAGTGATCTCTTTATAGTCCCATGACTGTGTTTTTTAGAATCTCATCATTAGCTCAGTTGATTCTACTCTTTCCATCTTTGAAGCCATTTGATTCTACTGATCTCAGCCCCCTACAAGGCCTCTTTCCCTGCTTACATTATACTGCCACATTCTCTGCCTTCATCTCTGATCGCCATGATGTACATCTTTAATGTCCTTTGCCACTTCCTATTCCTTACACTGTGTCAGGCCTCCAAGATTCAGTCTTTAGTCTTTGCCTCTATCCCACATTTGTCTGTCTCAGGGAGGACTCCCTCTTTGTCCCCTGGTCTTTGACTAAGAGGCCCCACACTCACCTGTAACTCCATGCCACCTACCACTCAATAGTGGATGACCCTCTCTGCCACAGCAGTATCCCTTAACTTTCTTATTTCAGACAACAGGGCAACACTCCTTCAGTCCTCTACACTCAAAAACTACATCTTCTTTAAATCAACCTGTCCAGAGGTTGATTTACACAGAGCCATTAATTTCTTTAAGATACTTCCTAGATATATTCCTTTGTTGTCATTTCCATCAACATCTCCCATATGGATATCTTCACAGGTAGTAACTATTCATGTTGTATGCAGCAACCATGTACATTTTCCAAAAATGTTTCCTTAATGACTTCTGCTGGAAGGCTTCCTTTTTGCCCAAATTCAAGTGGTTCAAAACCCTCAAAAGGCCACACCTTATCTATTACCTCCTGATGAAATCCAAGGTAATCCTTTCTCCCTACTACCCTTTCTCCCCTCATATCCCCTGCAGACTCATTACTGCCCCTACCTCTGCTCTTGTCTATCTCCCATGCCTTCTGTTTCAACGGAGCTTTCAGTAATTTTAACCTATACTTCTATTTCTTTCTTAAAGCCGGTGGTATGTTGGTTCTTGGGAGGAAGTCAACAGGAAAAAGCCCTCATTTTGTAGTGTTTGCCAATAACCCTCACCATAGCAGATTTTAAGCTACCAATGTTAACATAACTAATTGGGAAAATATTTGTACAAAGCCAAGAGGACCTGGCTCCATGGTACCATAGCAGCACTTAAAATCTGTTCTGTAATCTAGAACTTAATATATACTGTCTTACATAAGTTCTCCTGGTGTATGATATACTTGTTCACTGCAACAAACTCCAGCCCTAGAAGAGTGGGAGTCCTTTAACTTTAGAGCTTTCATAGTATACAGGGCACACAGTGTGTGCTCAATAAAAACCTTCTGAGAAGACCTGGAGGGACTGGTAAGCAAAGCCAAAGAACAGTAAAAATGGGCATGTACTTATTTAGGGTTGGTTAGCAAGAACAAACAGGACAATGAAGGAACAGAATGTAAGAGAAATAAAATCAGAATAGGAGCCAGGAGATATTGGTGACTCTTCTGGAGCCAAGTCAATTCCCCTCTGAGGCCTTAAGTTTCCTCATCAATAAAATTAGAGGACTAGACTACATGAGTCCCACATTATCTCTGGATTCTAATGCTGTAGAATGTCAGTTAAACTGACAAAGAGGCTGCTATCCATGATCCATTGTATTGGAATATTAATGATGATAATAAAATCATTTTAAAATCTGCTGAGAAGTCGAAGTTTAGGACAACAAAAATTTTTCTGAAGGTGTGAAGAAACATTCTTGTAAAGCCATTCCATTCCTTTGACCTGATAACTATTCTGTAGAATGTAATAAGTGTTATTAAAAATAATTTTAAGTTTTTAATTTTTAAAAAAATTATAATTATTTAAAATAATTAAAATTAATTATTCCAAAGAATATCTACTGTCTGCCTACTCTGAGCTGGACACTGATAAGTGCTAAGGTTTAGTAAAAACAATTTAGTCTTTACCCTCATGGAACCCACAGGAGTATGGGTCAGTAGCCATTTAGTTCCAAATCACTGTATCAGTGTCTTTTTTTTTTTTAAGATTTTATTTATTTATTCGACAGAAAGAGAGAGAACACAAGCAGAGAGCAGCAGGCAGTGGGAGAGGGAGAAACTGACTCCCAGCTGAGCAGGGAGCCTGATGTGAGGTTTATCCCAAGACCCTGGTATCATGACCTGAGCTGAAGGCAGACACCCAACCGACTGAGCCACCCAGGTGCCCTCTATCAGTGCCTTTTAACTTAAAGAGCACAAACTGCTCTAAGGAATGTATGCAAGCTATGGATACTCTCTTCCCAAAACAAGGATATAGTCATAAAAATATGAATATAATTGCAGAGGTTCACAGGACCGCTCATCTGTGAAGGGATCCAAGAACCTACAAGTTAATAACTCTGACCTACATCTATACCTACATTTGCAAAATGATAAACAAATTCAGGCTCATAAAAATCTATATTCTGTTTACTAAGAAAGTACAGCAAAGATTTCCAACAGAAACAATTTTAAAAAGGCCCACTGTTTAAAGGATTACGCTTTAGCTATTTGATATTTCCCTCACCTGGAGTGAGTACCTTATTCCAAATAATATCCTGGATAAGTGATGCATGCATAGATGGTTTCTATTTGATCTGCCATTCCTTTGGTTAAGATCGCCTGATAAATCATTCTTCTTACTTGAAAACCTATTTGCACATAAATGTGTGCTTCCACTTAACAAGTAAATCTGCATTTCATGATTCTCCCATTTCACATCAAAGAGACTCAATTAGCCATGACAAACACATATATGGCACACACATATCCTGAATAAACCGCTTGACTGAAACAAAGAGCACAAGTTCCTGAATTAGATGGTACTTACTCATCTCCTGGCTCTAACATTTTATGGCTATATGATCTTGAACAAGTCATTTAACCATCTGACCTATGTTTATTCACTTGTACATTGGAGGATGGATGATAAGATTTACCTAAGAAGGGTACTATAAGAAATCAATCCAGTAAAATAATGTATGTCAAAGTATGTAACTATAAAACGGCCACAAGTGGGTGAAAGGGCAGATTGCTTAGTTGCTCACAAAACATCAGACATTCAAAGAAGATCTTTTGTTAAGAGTTCTTCATATAACATTCAAGTGGATCTATCCGGAATACAATACATTGTTCTTAAATTGCTCAAGGAATTTTGTTTTGATTGAGTGCCCAATAGTGAAGTTCTTAAATATCAGAAGTCTGCAGAGAGGCTTTGGAATCTTTATAATTGCATAAATATATTTTCAAAGCAGGAAGATAAAACTGCTTAAAACTCTAAGGTCTTAGTTCTGATGTAGTCAAAGTCTCCGTCACTCCGTCTATTTTAGCTTTTTTACCGAGCAATGATTCTTTCACTTACCTTGTAACAGCTAACCGGTCAGTAGGATGTACACAAAAGATTTTAGGTAAATTAGTTCCACAAAGCTAAATAAATCAAATCAATCTCTTTTAGTGGAGGGAATGTTTACTTTAAAGGAAGTAAATAATATTCTTCAGTTTGAGACATGTTTTCCAGTCCATTCTCCATTGGAACACAAAATAAGCACACAAAAGATATTTTTTTTTCACGTTACTTCATGTACACTTGCAATGTATATTTACACTATTTCAATAGGCAAATTTGGGGGCGATTCTTCCTTTAAAATTGGAAATAAATACCTTTTTCGTAATTTGTCACCACGGAATAAAAGATGTCATCAGTCATTATACCTTATCAAAGGTGACTTAAAAGTGATTTGCCCTGGTGCCTAGAAAAAAGTCAAGCAGCAAATACTCTGATTTCTCAGTCCCTACTAAGCAAAGGCTCTGCTGGTTCCCCAAGACGACAACTTAAATTATGACTTCAAATACCCATTTCGCAGATGCCTACTAGAAAAATAAACTGCAGATTCTATAGAACACTTTCCTCAACAAAATTCAAAGCACTTAACTGCAGATTTGCTTATAAGAAATGTACCCCCTATCTTAGGCAACACCCCCCCCCATTATCCTGTAAGACCTTAAATTCCTTTGCTAATCAGACACTAAGTGCGTGGGAAACCCTAGACTCGAGGTTTTCTCTGAGAGCAGGGATAAACTCGAAACTGTGGGGAGGCTGGGGAGACTCAGAGCTGTGGACAGGAGAGGCTGCGGCAGAAGGCTGAACCCACCAGGCAATGGGGGAGTCCCGGGGATGGCAGGTGCATTAGGAACCGGGGATATGGGGGTGATAAGGGTCGGGGAGCAGGGGCCCGTTACGTTGGCAGGAGGGCCAGGCGCGGCGGTCACTGGGCCAACCCCGACTACCTGCTGAGCCGCTGCGCGCTCAGCCTTCGCTCTGTCGTCACTGGGGTGGGATTCCGAGCCACCTGGGGCTGCGTGAGGCAACGAGCAACCACCAGACCCGGCGGGCGGGAGGACTCCCCGACCTCCAACCGCCCCCAGCCCGGCCCGCGTCTCACCCGCCACCTGGCGCAGGCCGCGCAGGCTCCCCATGGCCGCCTACTCCGCCGACCCGACAGCGCCTCCCGGGCGGAGACGGCGCGACCGCATTCAACGACACCAAGCGCCCGCGACGGGAAAGAGCCTGACTGCGCGGGCGGGGCGGGCCTGGGCGACCCGAGGGCGGGGGGGCGGGGCCTGCGTGATGCGCGGGGCGGGGCATGGGCGGGGCCTGCGTGGTGTGCGGGGGAGGGGCCTGCTTGCGGAGCGTGTGGGACGTGCCTGACGCGCAGACTCTGCCGGCGGTGCCCCTCCCGCCCCCTCCCGTTCCCCCCTCCCCCCCCCCGCGGTGCAGCGTGCAAGGCGCGGTTGTTTTTTGTTTTGTTTTGTTTTTAATTCCTGAGAGAAAGCGAGAGACACCCAGGCAGAGGGAGAAGCAGGCTCCATGCAGGGAGCCCGACGTGGGACTCGATCCCGGGTCTCCAGGGTCACACCCTGAGCCCAAGGCAGGCGCTAAACCGCTGAGCCACCCGGGCCACCCCAGGACGCGTTTTAAAGGATGCTTTTGTGTCACCTGGGTGTCGCAGGCCTTTGCAGTCTCTTCCCTGCGTCTGTGCAAGGACTCGCTAAAATACAGTTGTGCTCGCCGCAGAACTTCTGTGAACTACACCCTGAAATCACACTGCCTAGATAGACAAGTGTTTCAAAACTGTTTTTCCAGCATTTTTAATGAATACATATATGTTTCTTTTCTTCAAAAACACGTAATTGGGCTCCTGGTGACTGATGGGCCCCCACATCTTACTATTTGGGAGTATCCCCAGCCTGCTTAGGAAATTCACATGTGTGCTTCCTATTCCTTTGGTTTGTCTATTTTAATAACACCTAACATTTTATTCCCACGCCCGAACCACCTTTGTCAACCCTTACCCCACAGGGTCAGTAAAGTCTTTTTTTTTTTTTTTTTAAGATTTTATTTATTCATGAGAAAGAGAGAAGCAGGCTCCTTGCAGGGAGCCCGATGCGGGACTCGCCCGGGTCTCCAGGGTCAAAGGCAGGCGCTAAACCACTGAGCCACCCAGGCATCCCCAGCAGTCTTTTTAAAGACTGTTCCTTAGCAGCCCCAAGGGCCAGGAGGTCAATGATGAAATGGGAGGTTAAGAAAAACACTACTTCTAGGCTAGATTCCTACTCGAACGACCAGGTTGGTGCGACCAAGAAACTGTTTCCCGTACTGTGAAATTAAAAAAAATAAAAATAAAAAAATAAATATTTATTTTTTTTTTAAGAGATTGGAGTAAAAAGTACCCCTTCCAGTTTCGGTAGTCTCCGACCCATCTAGGCCTGTTCCAGGAGGCTCTGCGAGAGCGAGACGGGGGGGCGGGGGGACGCGAAAAGGGTACAGGGCTCCGGGTTTGGATGGAAACCAGGGCCAGGTCCCGCTTGGGCTCCCCGCGGATTACAAGCGGCCTCAGTTCCGTTCAGGCGGCGACGCGGACACCCCTGCTCCGCGGTGATTGGCTCGCGGCGGGGGCCTCGCGTGTGTCCAATATGGCGGCGCCCAGTGGCGGTGTGAACTGTGAGGAGTTCGCGGAGTTCCAGGTGATGGGGTTTTCCTCGCGTGGCAGGCGTGTGCCTCCCTTGGTCCCCGCGCCCTGTTCTCTGCTGTGGCCTGGGAGGGGGTACGGGCCGGTTGTGGAAGAAGCGGGCGGGTCAAGGCTCCTTTCCCCCGCCCCCCCCCAGCCATTGGAGGTCACGGGGGCGCGGGCTCGGCCGCGGAGAGCGAGGCAGCGCTGGGGGGGGTCATGCCCGTGTCGGCGGCGCCCAGACCTTGGGTCACCTCCCGGGGAACCTCTGGTTAACACCGAGCTGGGGCCGGGTGGTGGGGATCGCAACCACCTTTTAAGTACCCCCCCCCCGCCCCGGACGCAGCTCCTATAACCTCTGCGGTTCCCCTTCCTATACTTAAGAGTCGAGCTTTAGTAGGGGAGAAGAAAGTGGAGGAGAGCTTACTTCCTTGGTAAAGTAAAAAACAAACAAACCCGGTACAGGTTTTGCTCTTACGATGGGGTCGATTGCTTTTAGGACCTGTTGTGGTGCTTCTGCCTTCCTATTAGAGGGAATGTGACATTTAAGGAACAGCCCGTATCTTTTATACGTGGAGAGAGACCAGAGGTCCAGGGCTGCTATCAGCCTGTCAATTAACAGGGGTCCGGATTCTATGACTTAAGTTGCTATGAAAGTGATCTGTTTCAACCCTAGACATAGACATGGTCCTGTCTAGATAAAGAGTGGAGTCTTGAAAACAAAACAAAACAAAAAAACAGGACCTTACAAATGTACGTTTTAATCAAAGACAGGGAAAAGTAATTTCAGGCGTCACCAATCTATCCGTAGGAAGCTTTGTGCTATGAGCCGTTTTGTAGGGAGTGGCATTCTTGAAGATGACCTCAACAGGCTGAACTATTTATTTTTATTTTATTTTTATTTAGAGATTTTATTTATTTATTTATGATAGACATAGAGAGAGAGGCAGAGACACAGGCAGAGGGAGAAGCAGGCTCCATGCAGGGAGTCCAACGTGGGACTCGATCCCGGGTCTCCAGGATCGCACCCTGGGCCGAAGCTGGTGCTAAACTGCTGAGCCACCCAGGGATCCCCTGAACTATTTTTTTTTTAAGATTTTTTTTTTTTTTTTTTTTTACTTACTTATTCATGAGAGACACACAGAGAGAGGCAGAGACCCAGGCAGAGGGAGAAGTAGGCTCCATGCAGGGAGCCCGATGCAGGACTCAATCCCAGGACCCCAGGGTCAGGCCCTGGGCTGAAGGTGATGCTAAACCACTGAGCCATCCAGGTGTCCCCTGAACTATTTGACAATAGGATTTGGGCCAAAGAAATTTGCGTGGGAATCTTTCCACCTTTTACTTGTACCCACGTCACCCTTCAGCTAGATCAGTGCAACAGCAGCCAACTTCAAACGTGATCAAAGTGCTGGACAAATACCGATGACTTGTAAAAATCTTCAATAAGATGGGAAAAGACCGTTGGATCATAAAGTATAAGGAATATTTAAGTTTAGCAGGCCTGGTTGTGGCCTTGGCCTTTTCATATTAGTACTACTATGGCTTGACTTGAGTTAGTGAGCTCTGATAACTGGGACATGATAGCCTTAAGTTTTATCAGAATGAGCACTGCTTAAGGAGTTAGATGACCTGGGTTCTTTTTTTTTTTTTCTAAAGATTTTATTTATTTATTCATGAGAGAGAGAGAGAGAGAGAGGCAGAGACACAGGCAGAGGGAGAAGCAGGCCCCATGCTGGGAGTCTGGGATCATGCCCTGGGCTGAAGGCAGGCGCTAAACCACTGAGCCACTGGGGCTGCCCTGAGGCAAGTTTTTAGATAGTTTTCCTAGGCTTTTCCAAGTGTGTGTTTTACAATGGAGAATACCATGGGTTAAAAGTCAGAAGATCTGGTTTTCCAGAGCTACCATGGCATATCATTTAACCTCATTGTAAATAAGTAGAACATTTGCCTCAACTATGTCAGGCACACATGAACATAAGTTAATGTGCTATAAATGTAAAAATTTAGTATAGTATTTAGGTTTAGGTGAATTGGGTAAAATTATAAGCTGTGGTTAACCGACATACAAATTATTAAAGTTAATATTTTTTAAAGCTATGAAACCATTACTTTTTGTTTTTTGTTTTTTTTAAAATTTTTATTTATTTATGGTAGTTACACACACAGAGAGAGAGAGAGAGGCAGAGACACAGGCAGAGGGAGAAGCAGGCTCCATGCACCGGGAGCCCGATGTGGGATTCGATCGATCCTGGGTCTCCAGGATCGCGCCCTGGGCCAAAGGCAGGCGCCAAACCACTGCGCCACCCAGGGATCCCCCATTACTTTTTGTATGTTAAGTACCATAAATGTGAAAAGCTCTGCACTGATTCTATAACCAGTGATTTTGTGTGTTTATCATATCTATCTCTCAACATAATCATCACTTCACCTTTTTTAAAAAAGACTTTATCTATTGGAGAGAGAGAATGCATGAGCGTGGGGGAGGGGCAGATTGAGAGGGAGAAGCAGACATCTGAGCAGATGTGAGCTTGATTCCAGGACCCCCAGCATCACAACCTGAGCCAAAGGTGGATGCTTAACAGACTGAGCCACCGAGGTGTCCCCACCTTTTTTTTTTTTTGATGCATTTCAAAGTAGGTTGCAAACGTCCTTATTCTTTATTTGTAAACATGTCTTTTCATATCATTTTTTTCTATTCATATCATTAACTAGAATTCAATATTTGTTCACTTTCATTTAGTAAAATTTCATGCAGTAAAATACGCTAATCTTAAGCATACCGTTCTTTTGACATTTACATATACCTATAGTACAAACCTCGATCAATATAGAGAATAATACCATCACCTCCAAAAGTTTCTCATGCCCCTTCCCAGTCAAGTCAGTCCCTGTCCATATATCCTTCTACCCCTGTTAAAACTGCTGTCCTGGTTTTTTTCCATGTAGGTACAGTTTTAAAGCTTGAGTTTTTAAAGTATTTTAAGTTTTTGCAATTCTTATTTTTCTGTTATAAAAGTTGGACTTAATACTCCTGGAAAATATACTATTTCTAAAATGGAATAAAATCCAGAATAGAATGTTTAAAACTGAGTGTCTAGGATTCCATTTGAACACTCAGTTAGCAAGGATTTATTGGATGTTGCATTAGTCTGCTGGGGCTGCCATAACAAATTCCACAGAATGGGTGGCTTAGACAACAGAAATTCATTTCTTCACAGTTCTAGAGGCTCAGAGTCCAAGATCAAAGTCCTGTCAGAGTTGGTTTCTGGTTCATCGCCTCTTCCTGGCTTGCATATTGCAGCTTCATTGCTGTGTTCTCACATGGCCTCTTTGTGCACAGAAAGAGAGATTTTTGTTGTGTCTTCCCTTTATAAAGACATCAGTTCTGTAGGATTAGGGCTCTACCCTTATGACCTCATTTAATCTTACTTACCTCCCTATAGGCTCTGTCTCCAAATACAGTCATGTTTGGGGTTACGGCTTCAGTATATGAATTTGGTGGGGGGAAGGGACACAGATCAGTTCATAACAGATACCTGTTAGGTACCAGGCACTTGGAGAGATTCAACTGACAATATAAAATAAGTAACGTAATGCAAGCAAGGAGACAAAACATGTAGAAGATACTGAGAATGTGAATAAAATGCTGTAACAGGTTAGAGAGAAATAAGAGATAGTAATTAAGTTAGCCTTAGGTAGGCAGGACCATGGGACTTCAAGGTAGACGGAACAGTATATAGGCAAAAAATTGTATGTATTTGGGGGAGATAGCCAATCAGTATTGCTGGAATTCAGGATTTGCACAGGGACACACTGAGATCACACAAAAGATTGGAAGGAGATTATGAAAGGCCTTGAATGCCAAGTGTGAGATTAGGGAGTCATTTTTGTCAAAGAGATGCTTTAGGGACATTCATCAGTACTGCCACAGTCTGTTGAGACCTTATGTTTGCAATTAGCTTTGCAGTCTCCCTCCGTATCTTCAGTCATTCCTTTCTCCAATATCTCCCCCAATCTGATCTTCATAATACTTTGGTTTCATATTGTTGTCTTCTAAATTTTAGAATCTGAACCATGCATCTAATTTCAGTCTTCTGTGACTAGGTCTAAACTACTTAACATGCCATACAAGACCTTTTAAAACTCAATCCCAATGTCTTCACCCTACTTCTATCTCTTATCCTCCCTTACTGATGTTTCTCTCTCCTTAATCACTGTCACCTCCAACACACATTTAAACTCTTCTGTCCAGCTGCATAGACTTGCTTTTCCCTGAACACATCAAGCTCTATATTTTCTGTGTTTTTCCCCCACTGTTGCTACCCTGAAATCCCTTCTTCCTGACCCCATCTCCAACCCAGTTCATATATCACCTGAACAAAATCAACTAAGTATTCTTTCCTAGAATGTTTAAGTCTTGGTGTTTCTGTCGGAAATACTTATTCATTTATAAACGATTGTGGTAATTAAGTACAGATGAAATAGACTTTTCTGGCATCAATGATGGTTCCTTTCGCAACATGCCCAGCTGCTGTCTGAGCCTGGGGTGCTAGGTGTCAACTCTGGCAATTACAGGCAAGTCTCTGTTTCTGGTATAGGTGGACACAGTGTGAGTATTACCATAAAAATGTGTTTGAAGAACAAGATCTGTCTGAAAAGAGGACCATGTGAATAGAATCTACCTCTGCGTGCCTTTAGGCCTGGATCTAAGCTAAATTACACAGAATTCTTTGGCATTCATTTTTAGTTTACTGTCATGTAATAGGCCTTTTACCACTCCCCATATACCCTAGAAGCTACCCAAAATAATAAAAGGAATTTACCTGAGGATTAGTCTTAGGAGTAGAGTGTAGTATAATTATAGGGGCAATAGAAAGTTTTCTCTACCCCTCTCTACAAAATGTGGGCACTCATTCAGTACCAAAATTGGCTTCTGTGAGGATGAGATTTTCACCCCACAATTACAAACAAGACATAAAATGCATTTCCAAGATGAGTGTCTGAATAATTTTAAAG